CTTCTCGAATGATTTGTCATTGTTCTTCTCGAATGATTTGTCATTGTTCTTCTCGAATGATTTGTCATTGTTCTTCTCGAATGATTTGTCATTGTTCTTCTTGAACGATTTATCATCATTCTTCTTGAATGATTTGTTATCATTCTTCTCGAACGATTTGTCATTGTTCAAATTGAATGATTCATCATCATTTTTCTTGAATGATTTTTTTTATCATTCAAGTCGAACGATTCATCATCGTTTTTCTTGAACGATTTTTTTTATCATTCAAGTCAAATGATTCAGGTCATCGTTCTTCTTGAACGATTCTTTATCATTCTTCTTGAATAATTTTTTTTATCATTCAAGTTGAACGATTCATTATCATTCTTCTTGAATGATTCATTATTATTCTTTTTGAACAATTCGTTATCGTTCTTCTTGAACAATTCGTTATAGTTTTTCTTGAACGATTTTTTTTATCGTTCAAGTCAACTCAAGTCAACTCAAATCAAGTTGAGTTTAAATTGAGTCAAATTAAATATTTAACTCAACTTAAATTTGGCTTGACTTGCAAATCATCAAGTCAAAAAAATAAAAACTCAATTTGATTTAAATTTGACTCAGCTTATCTGACTCATGAGTTAACTTGACTCATCCAGAACTCTATATAAAATATTAAATTATATTGATTATTTTCTAAAAAGTATATTAATTATATTTATTATTTTCAAATTCTATTTTTAGATTTCTATGTAAAAAATTCAATTGCTTTTTATTCATTTTTAATAGTCACTAACTATACAATATACATAGCCTCTACTATAAGAAAAAAAAATTCCAATGGCTGCTTAAAATACTACTTACAGTAGAGGTCTTTAAATTAAGACATTCTTCTCTTTTTCCATTCTTGTCTCTATGCCTTCAATGTGATGCTACAGATGAAGACTTTTATCACATCTGGATTTGCCTTATAATCAATTATAAAATAAAATTGCTTATCTAACATATAAAAAATTTTTTCAAATTTATTACTAATACACAAATTAGCGATATAAAAAAACTTAATTGGTAGAATTTATCGACCTCTTTTTCTTTTGTGATCCCTATCAAAGGAATTATTTCCACTAATCTCTTCAAATTTATTTACAATCACATTTCACACATGCTTATAGTTTTAGCTACATGTTTCTTTCTAATGCACTTTATTTTTAAAGAATCTCAAAGATTCTGGGTTGAAAGATGTATCATTCAATCTAACATTGAAAAAGTTATAAATATTATTATCAATAACAAAAATAAGGACTTTGTCTCTTCTGGTTTTGATCTTTTCTATTGTATATTCAACATCGATAATAACCTTAATCCAATTGACATCATAATACAACTCAAATCTCATTGGATGAATTTTTAGTGTAGTAATAACTAAGCTCTCTTCTGCTCTTTTCATTTTATTTTCTCGAAAATAATAGTTTTAGCTTAAGTTAGAATTAATTCAGAAAAGTGTAAACTTAGTTTTCTTTAGATTAGAGATTTCTTTTCTTTATGAAATTTTTATTTTTTCTTCTTGATTTATATTTTATTTTATATTATATTTTTATTATAATAAAGATTATATGGAAATACTGCACTTTAAAAAAAAAATTTTATTCATTTTTAATATTAAATTAAGGTACTTTAAAATTTTAACTAGTTAAAGTTATTATAACATAAATTAATATAATCAATTTTAGTAAAAAGTTCTTAAAGCCCTATTTTCCTAGCAAACCTCTCATATATTCTTTTATTTTTTATGCAGATATGCTATATTCTATTTTTAGATTTAATAATTATATATATTTTATAATTGAATAATAATAAATAGACTAAATATCTTTTAGATGTCAATATTGAATATTACAAGTATTCTAGACCTAGTTAAACTATTTTTATCTGAGAGAATACTAATTTTTATGAATTCTATCATAACATTCAACACTTCCTATTAATGATACAAATAATATTTGATTATTACTCAAAATAGTTGGAATAGATAGTGATTTTAATAATAAGTCTTTGTACCTTTGATTCCTAATTACTTGTGTATACAAAATTAGAAGAAACAAATTTTAGATTTAATTTAGAATGGTATAATAAAGAAAATACTATTTTATATCAATGGAATGATTTTTTAAGTGATTTTACTTTACTAATGTATAACATTAGCATATAGCGTATAATAATCTAACTAATTTATAATTACATATTAAAGATACATTATGTATCAAATATTCTGAAATAATATCTGTACTATTTTTATTAGGATTAACTTGCAAAGAAAATGTAAAATAGCTTAAAGGATTTATTTCACAACATAATCCAAATTTCTTTCATTAGAAAGAATATTATTCTATATTAAATATCAGTGTGATAATATCCTTAATCAAGCAAAATGGAAGGCTAAAAAATTACAAGAGGATTTATATTTTGAAGATACTGATAATAAAAAAATTATTAAAGAGGAATTATCTATTATAACTAATAGATGACAGGAATCAAATGAGATAGTGCAAGCCTTATATATTAAACTAATAGAATCATAAAAACAGATGTTTAAAAAAAAAAGAATTGAAAGTGAATAAAAAATGTTTACATCGATTATTAGAAACCATTTATTAACTAGAATTCTTAAATTCAGAGTAAATAGAAATTAGTTAAACATGTAAAAAATGACTCAAGTTTCATGAAACCTTATCTGAAAATTGATTTAATAATTAGATGATCAGATATTTGGCTAAGATTTTCTTTTTTTATATTTGTTATAGATCTGTAATATGAGAAAAAAAATGTTTTGTATAGTTCATTTAAAAATTATTAGAAATGATCAGCTTTGAAATGATTATGAGCCAGGAAAAATATCAGTTTTAAAAAACTGATTTTTTTGGGAAAAAAGAAGCTAAAAAAAAGGCAGTTACTATAAATAAAATATTCTTTCACTCCTATAACCAAATGATCAATATTCTTAATGAAATATACTGCAGTTAATATTATTTTTTATTTAAATTTAATTTATTTCTTACTTTATTATTACTCTTATAATTATAAATAATTTATTAACTTTTTTATAAATCACATAATAAATTCTTTTAAAATTTGTAAGATGGGATTTACGACCCATTATAGGTGAAAAATCCTTGACTAATACCATTTATTTTTTTAAAATTTATATGACAGAAATATTTTTTTATTATTGTACAAATTGGTTTAATTTATATAATTTATGAAGAACAAAGATGTAATATTTTTTTTCTAGAATTTAAAAAATGAGAAACGATTAAATATCATTTTTGTAAGACTGAAAATTATTTTTTATCTAATAAACTCAATTGAGATTAAAGTTCAGCCTTTTTATATAATGATTTTCTTGATCTATTTAATGTTGATAAAAAAAAAATATTTTTTCTGTCAGACTGTAAACTGTAAAATAAAAGTCATTAAAGGTTCAAAAGGGAAAAATTTGATTGTGTAATACAAATATGAAATGCATACAATAGTGTCACTAGGACTATAGTTATAGTAAGCGAAGATACACTATTTATTTATTTTAACTTAACGTTTATGGGAGAGTAAACAAAAATTTTGACTATAATATCTATTGATCAAATTAAAATTCAACATAATCACTTTTTATCATATGCTTTTTCTTCTCTTTATACTCTTTTTTTCAACGTTTTCTTCTTTTTTCATAATAAACTCTACCCCACTTTTCTCAAACTGTTTCAATAGCTTTTTTATAAACATATTATATTATTTTCTTATAATGAAAACTAATAAAGACATTTTTTTCTTTTAATATATATATAGAGGTAAAGTTAAATGATGCTTAACTATTATAAAGCTATTAGATAGAGTAAGGTTTTGATTTGTGTATTTTTTTTAAATATTTAGTTATATTCAGGTTATCTGTTTATGTATTTTAGGTAAATTTTTAATTTAAATTTGATAGTTATATATGATCTGATGCAAAAAGATTTGTATATCAAAAAAATTGTTTATAGAAAATTTTTTATTAAAGTAAACTTTTTTTTATTTATTTAAATTATATCAGTATATATTCAGAAATATAAAAATATAAATATTAGATTAAGTTATATATTACTGTTAAAATTCTTATGATTATTAAAATTTTTATTAATTAATTACATATTCTTATTATTAGATTAAATTTAAAAGTAATTCTTTATTTAAGCTAGCTTAAATCAATAAAACTAATTTGTAAAACTAATTTGGATTCGGATTCTTCTCGATAAAACGATTTCAACAAGCCTAAAATCGTAAAATTCTGATCACTGACTGCGGAGAAATTGATCATCAAAGATCAACATTGCACAAATATTTTTTTGTATAAATAATATCAAATTTTGACGATCAATTTCTCTGCAGCCAGTGATCAGAATTTCATGAATTTAGGCTTGTTGGAATCATCTCATCAAGGAGAATTTGAGTATAATAATTAAAATTTATTAGAATTGATTCAATTTGTTTATTATAAAATTTACTATATAAACTTATATATATTTTATATTGAAAAAAGTAAAATTATTAAAATTTAGAACTTGATTTCTTAATAATTACTAATTCAATTTAGTTCAAATTTAAAATATATATTTATTGTATATAAAACTATGCATTTGTGTAATATGAACTCATAAAATTGCATATATTATGAAAAAATATCAAAATTTATTTCTTTAATAAAAAATTTATGTATTTTTTTATAAAAAATTCAAAAGTTTTGCTTTATTAAATTTTATATAAAAAAATATAAAAGTAATAAAAAAACTATATAGAAAGATAGATTAAAGTATATTTTATATTATATAAAAAAATTTATAAATATATTATTATTAAAATTTAAGAAATTTATATGTAAACAAAATTAAATTTTTTTTTGTTATACAAATCTTTTTGCATCAGACCATATATATATATTAAATAATTAATTATAGGATGATAAATAATTACAGAGTGGTAATTAATTAGCAAATTTTAGATTGTATATAAAATGAAAAATTTTTTAATTTGATGATTAATTACAGTTGTATAATTAATTATAGTTGCATAATTTATATCACTAAAAATTAATTTTCCAATTTTTTTTTTTAACAATAAAAACACTTTTATTTTATTTTAATATAATCTTTAAAAAACAATCTTATTTTTTAAACTTAAATACTAGAACTTATAAGAACTTTTATTAAATATAATTTCTTTTATTTTGTAGATTTTAATTTTTATATATATTTAAAATCTTTTTTTATAAATATTAATATAGAGATTTCATAACAAAAATTGAATATTTTGGTTAAAGTTAATTACTTTTTATTTTTAAGAATTGTTATTTAGCAAGTTTGATACTATTTATATTTAATTTTTTATCAAATTTAGTTTAATATTTATATAGTAATATTTTTTTGTAACTTTACTAAATAAGTTACATTTTTTGACTTCACAAGAAACTTTGAATACTTTCATTAAAGTTAATTATCTTTTATCTCTAAGTAAAAATTATTTAGAAGGTTAATACTATTTGCATAAAAAATTTTATTAAGATTAGTTTAATATTCATATAGTAATATGTTTTTTATAATTCTATTAATATTGTAGCATTTTTTTTATAATTTCACAGGATAATTTAAGTATTTTGATCAAAATTAATCAGTTTTTATTTTTAAGTAAAGGTTATTTAGCAGATTTTATACTATTTATATTTAATTTTTTATCAAAATATTCATGTAGAAATAATTTTTTTATAACTTAAATTAAATTAGTCATATTTTTTTAACTTTACAAATTAATTTGAGCACTTTGATTAAAGTAATTGCTTATTTTATATTATGTAAAATGTTCTATATATCTAAAACTACTTATATATATATTTTTATCTTAATTAATTTAATATTTATTAAGTAATAGCTTTTGTAATTATATTAATTCTCAAATTTTTTTTTGTTTTTTTAAATATTTATTTATGTGATTTATTAAATACTTATCAATATAAATGTATATTATAAAATTACCATATTTTAAAAGTTATTATTTTATTTTATTATAATTAATTTTTTTGAAATTTTTTTTTTTTGAATTTTATTGTATTTTTAAAATTACATAAAATAATAATTTATATAGCATTACTAATAATAGTTAAAATTTTAATTCATAATTTCATAGAATTTTTAATGTTAATTATTAGCTATGCATATTATTATTATAAAAATTATTTGCGTAGGTTTATATTAAAAATTTTTTGGTTATCTTACTTATATATATGTATATTTCTAAATTCTGTATTAATAATAAAATAACTATATTATACTTAATATAAGAGTTATTACATACTTAATACCATTAGACCATTCTAAAAGAATGATTTTTAAATATTTGTTTAATTAAAATAATAGTATTATTCCAATTAAATAATTTTTATATTATCATTTAATTAGAATAATACAATTATTCTAATTAAATGAATTTTTAGTTTTTCTTCAATTAGAATAATTCAATCATTCTAACTAAATGATTTTTAAATTTTGTTTGATTATAATAATACAATCATTTTAATTAAATGATTTTTAGTTATCATATTTATAGGACTAATTAATCGATTTATTAGATTATAATTATTAAGAAAGTGATTTATTAAGTTAGTAAAATAGTAATTACTTAGGATAAAATATTGATTAAAATATAGTAAATCATGTGATTTAGCATAGTAAATATTAGTTGAATAAATATAGTTAGAAAAGATAAATAATATAATTAGTTAAATGATATAATTAGCCAAATACTCATAATTAACTGTATTTAAAATATAAAAAATGGAATACAAAAGACAGAATGTTGAAAAACAAAAATAGAAAACTGAGATTCAGACAGAAATAACAGAAATACAGATGGTAAATATATATAAACAGCACTCTTAATAGCAAATAGTACAGAGTTACTATGGCTATATCAATTATTATAGTTGGCTTAGTGTTATATGATATTTTCAAATAAATATCTAGAAGAAATAACTAAGTTTAAACAATTGAGTTTAGAAGTTTAAGTAATGGTCTTTTTAGAAAATTTGAAGGAAATTAGAAAATAATACCTTTAATAAAAACAACCTTTAATCTTTACTTGTATTTCTTAAGAAATCAACAATTAAGAATAGATTTAATAAACTGAAAGGAATAATATAGTTTGTCTTAATTCTAAGTAAGCTTATTAACTTGTATCTTACTATTTGATATCTTTGAGATTGTTAAATATTATGAATAAGTAAATAAACCAAGTGTGATATCATTTAATTAAAATAATATAATTATTTTAATTGAATAGTTTTGTATTATCATTCGATTAGAATGATATAATTTTTTAATTAAAAGATTTTTGTATATTATTTGATTAAAATGATATAATAGTTCCAATTGAATAATTTTTATATTATCATTTATTTGAAACTATACATTATTTTAATCAGATAATTTTAATTTATATTATCATT